AATTATTTTTAGTTTCGTATCTCTCTCTCTCTAGCTAAATTTTTGAATACTTCACCAAAATCGTTTTTTTCGTGTGCCAGATGTTGTATACGAAAAATAAAATGTTAATGTGACCAAGGAGGAAGTGATTTTTTTTTTTTTTTTACGAATGAACGAAAGTATATGCGGATAAATCATTTTTTCTGTTATATACTTTTCGCGAATGTCAAAGGAAATTCATATGCTTCTCGGAAATACGTAAATAAACGTATAGGTAATACATATACGACGCGCACGTCACGAATATCGTATGAGGTGTGTGTTCTCCCGTTGATTTTGCGGCGTCCTATATTAAGCTCTCCCTACGCATTCACGTGGCAGCAACCTAGAAAAGTGTCACCCTTAAAAATGAATAACCTTTTTATCATATATATCGTAGGCGGCAGTTTTTCCTAGCGACACCGCGGGTGTTTTTCTAAAGATAAACTTAGGTTGCTCCTTCAAGTCTTCCCCTCCCGGTGTCTCTTTTTGCGATATTCATCGAAGTGCACTGCCGGGAATCCGAAGCCACGACGAGCGCGCAAGCAGCACGGGATGGCGCATTCGGTATTGCTAAATATTGCTCCCGTAACGATTTTCGAAAAATATTACCTCGGACACTGTAAATCTGTCGTCATGTGCCCAGCGAGAGATTAACGTATTATTTATGTCCCTTGTTTGTGTGCGTTGACTTGCTATAAAACGCAAACAGCTGGACGTATCTATAACGTACAGGATGTTTTAAAAGTCCTGCAAAAAATAACGTATAAAGCCTTTACAAACGATGAGCTTATAGGATAAATTTTACTTGAATTAATGATAAAATTTATTGCTTCGAAATTTGAAAAGACATCAGTGAATAAATTCGGGTTATTCATTATTAAAAATTAAAAACATTACAGTTGCCTCCGTTATTATTTATTAGTTTTAGAAGGATTTGGCAAATATAGATATCGTTACTTATTATAACTCTAATAACTACCGATTGGAATTAACATTTTTTTCAAATAAAATCAAATTATGTTTGTTTGCTTGTACTTAATCTCTTGCTGTTTGCATTGTTAAATTGTTTTATTAAAAATAAGCGCGTTCATCTCGTACGTGACCCAGCCACGAGATGGATGCGCTACTCGTAAAAGGAAAACGCCCCGAAATCCTATATAAGGTCTATGCAAATTGAGTCAGCGAGTCTCCTGGAGGCTTCCGAGCTCTTGGAGTAGCTTTCGGGACTCTGAAAGAGATATAACTGTCATGTATGAAAAAATGTTTATTAGAAATTCCGAAAAGGTTTGTATTTGCTGTAATTCTGCTGCAGAGTATCGAAAAAGTTATTATATTGTTAAAATAAGAAAATTTTTTTATTTTTTCACGCTATAATATATCTCAAACAATTTAATTACGTCTAATGAAACCATTCATATTATTAAAAGAAGTTTAACATATGCATGTATACAGTGTGACATAAAGATAGAGTTAAAAATAACAATTTCATCTTTTTTATTTGATTCTTTTAAATTTCAAAAGGAAATATTGTTTTTTCGAGCTATATTTTGATAGAAAAATATAATATTATTGGAATTTAAGATTATCAAATTCTTTAGGAAAGATTTTACGTTGTTTATATCTAGAAAACAATAATTACGCGCGTTGAATAAAATATATTAATTTTAATTTAATATAATAACTTTTTATTTGTTAAATTTGAGAGAGAAAGAGGAAAGAGAACGTACATTCCTAAAAGATGACTAGAACTAACCGAGTCTTATCGTCGCGTTGCGCACTTTTGCGTCACCTTGTATACGCAGTCGTGAGTCCGTCAAGATAGTCTGGACACGATCGGTCACTTGGCTGTTACTTGGCTACCTCGCAATTTCGCCAGGAAAGTTTTCGCCATTTGGCGAGCAAGCTCGGATTTCCCCGTTCATCAATCGATCGGCTTGACTCATCGCGCGGAATATAAGCGCGCGTGATGCATACCTACGTAGTCGTTCATACACGAACTCGCGTAGCGGTCGCACATGCACATGGGCCGCAGGGGCCGCCGCAGGGGCCGCTACAGGGTGACGCAAAGTTTCGTTACTTTTACTCGGAGCTGAGTCACCGTGACGCGGTCTGATGAATTACCCCGAACACATTTCCGACAAGTTATTCCACGGAGTTACGGGCTGCTTATTATTTCGCTGAAACGGATTACCGCGTTCTCCATTTGCGTCTGTGCGTTCCCTGCGCTTCACGATATCGTTGTGTTGCAAAATATACGGATAAATACTATATTGTATATATTATATTATTTTATAAAAATCTCTATCTGTTTTGTACACTCGAAAGTTAAGTCTTTTTGAAAAAAGCACATTAATCAATGATTATTAGTTGAATGTATAATGTACTTTAATTAAGATCGGAGAACGTATGTCACACTGCGTGACATATGGAAAAAAGTAATAAGCCAGGCTTACGCGTGACTCGCCTTGCTTATTATTTTACAAAAGTCCACGTTTGTTCTCTACTTGAGAGTTTCTCTAAAAGCATATACATGATTAGTACGTAATTAAATAAAGTTTCACAGGATGTTGAGAATGTAATATAGTTATTAATCTCTCTCTTCAACAAATGTTTAATATTAATACTCCGATTAGGATTAGAGAAGTCTACCTTTTCGCAACCCTGCACCAAAATGCGATGGATATTTTGTCACAGTTCGCCAAGTAACCGGCATGGTCGTACTACTTGTTTGCACCACTTTGTTAAGGAACCGACGGGTGTCGAGCCGGTTAACTTAAACATAACTGTATACCTCGTGGTACCGTAGATCGTTCATAATGCCAACCAGCATTTCTGACAGTCAGCACTATAATTAGAGCACATCGCGCGGATAAATGACGGCGAGAATAGTAGAGAGAGGGAAAGAAAGGAAGAGAGAGAGATAGAGAGAGAGAGATGCGCGTATTGAGAGATGCGATAGATAGATTGAAGAAGGAAGGCAGAACCCGAGAGGGTAGAATTGAAATCGTGTTGTTTCCGAGGCATTGCGGGATTGCGATCGATCGGTTGTTTTTGTGTACCCGGTATTATTCGGGCGGCAACTCTATGAGTCACAAACGTATTGTGCAATACTCTCCGTATCTGAGTACGATCAGATGGAATTACGTTGTGTTGATACCACACGAGAAAATGGTTCCACACGCCGCTGCAATTAAGGACCTTCGTGACACTAAGGATGTGTGTGTATTACGTATTTTTTAATCAAAAATAAACAAATTATGATAATATTACAATTTTTTTATACTGTATACATGAAAGTAATAGGTACAAAAAGTTTGGCAGTAATTTAGAACCCCAATCAAATTTTTTTCAATAATAAAAACATTTAAAAAAATAATTAAGACGAAATTTTATTTCAAATTATAAAAATTGTATTGTTAAACTCTTGTTTTATATGTATTCATTTTTAAACAAAAAGTATAGAAATTATTTTTTACAGAAACTGTATGGGTACATTGGATTTTTCAATCATTAAGTCGCAATTAATCTGAATTTTTTATTTGACATTAAACTGTTTAACGTCGAAAATCGGGCACTGCAAGCGATAACATTTCGGGTGGCGTTCTCATTCTTTGTAGGTCACCTTACGAACACGTCATTTTCGTATACAAAGCAATAATTTTCAATATGAAACGTGGCAGGATTCGTATCGAGATTTACAATTTTCCGCGTTAGATTGAAGTGCTAGGAAATTCTTAAAATAGAAGACTCCCCCGAAACCGACAGATTATTCCGAGACATAAAACGTTAATGTATCCGCATGATAAGAGCGGCTAATAGCCTAGAAACGAGCTGCGAGAATTCTTAGCTATGACAAAGCAGGAGAGGATAAAAGACCGTCGTCGAGACGGTTAACTGGTAAACCTCGTGGAAATTGTTTGCTCCTCGCAAACGAACAGTCATACTTATTGGAAAAAAACCGGGAAGCGATCACTCCGCGGTTGTTCGCATGTAAAAATATGATATCTGGTGACAGCTCTTTGAGAATCACTGACCCAAACCAACACGTCGGCGAAGAAGACTTTAAAATATTCATGGTCGTTGGCTTTACTTTTTGTGTTCCCCGCAGTATTTTTTCGCCATGGTGACGCACACTTTTGCGTCGAGGTGTCTTTCAAATCTCCTGAGAAAACAGTGTCATTACTCGAATATTTAACGTCCTGATGTCATTTTAATTTTTTTGCGATACGGCAGGATGTTTAAGAGCTACTACTATATTCTTTAAACACTTAAATGCCTATTATTTCAGCTTTAGTTTCAATGATTGAATTTCAAGTCCAACAGCAATCAACGCGCGGTTTATTTAATTGAAAGATATATTTAAAATTTATAAGTAAAATTAAACTCCGACACAAATAAATCAAAGAAGAGAAGAAATCCTATTTCTGGTCAACTGAAAATTTTCGGTCAACCGGTTGATCGAAAATAGGATTTTTTTTCTTTGATTTATTTTTATCAGTTGAAATTTCATATATATAATATGTAATCGAATTGATAAGGCTCGTATAGACTGAAGCAGATCTTGGTTCAAATTTCGACCAAGGTGATATTTTTTGCAATAAATTTTTGCTTTGCAGTGTTTCGAAATGTTTATTAGTCTCATTTATTAAATTGATGATCAATTGTGATGTTATTTCCAACTTCAGTTTATCATTACGTTTCAATACCGGCGCGTAAGTTTAAAACTGAAAAATGTATTTGAAAATTTGCACATGAACATTATCTTTTAATTAAAATTTATACAGAAATATTATTAGGCCCCAAGATCCGGCCTCGCCTGTATTTGACACTTCTTCTTTATTTGTGTTAATTTAACTTTTGTCTGAGAAGCCGATATCGTAATAAGAGATTATAATAGTGAATATAAAAATACATATCGTAAAGAAATTAATGGATCGCCAGCGTTTAACGCTAATGAGGTCGTTACTTTCTGATTGCAGGGAATGTGTGACATGTTCATCCAAACACAGCAGACGAGTAGCGTCAACGGCAGCAGCAGCAGCAGCAGCAGCAGCAGCAGTAACAACACCGTTCACCACCCCAGCAAGAAGCGCAAGTTGGATTACAACGTGAGCCAGCCGGTGATCCAGCACGCATTGGTCCAATCGACCAGCGACTACCAATTGGACAATACCGGTCTGCAGCAACGGTACTCCGTGAACGGTGCTAATACCGCATTTAGCTCGCTGCACAACAATAATGCGCTGCAGAAGAGTAGCCCGAACCAGCAGACCCTGGTACGAGCCTCGACGATCAAGCTCTTAGACACGTACCAGCGCTGTGGCCAGAAGGTTCGTTCATGTCGCTTCCTACGTTTCTTTTGTCGCCGCGCTTCTAATTGTTCGACGGACAATCCATGTCCCCCCTCCCCCCCCCCCCC